TCATAGTCGAGACTCGGTTTTGTGCCTCAGGGTCTGATTTCGACCCTGGTTCATAACCGGCCTTCTCCGGATATCAATATCTAGTTTTTCTAAGTAATTTTTTTTCTAGAATTTACTCTTAACTTTCTTCTAAAGATTTCTATATCATTTATTTTCCCAATCTACTTTGATTTGCCTTACTTATGGTACTACAAAATAAGTAGAAGTCACCTTCTTAAAAAGCAGCATTCATACCTTTTAATTTTTCTACCCCTTTGGCTATTAACTATATTTCTAAGATAATTTGTTCTAATACTTTGAACTAAGATCTCTTAAATTATAATAATCTCCACACTCTTTCACCTATTAATCGTATTACATCACGACACCGCATTGATCTTTTGTCGTTCTTGAGCTTCCTTTAATTGTATCTTCATTGTTATATGTAGCTCTGAGAAGCAATTTGCTAAATCTTTTGCTGCAGGGTTATCAACTTTTGAAAAGATAAAAGTACCAAGATATAGATGATAACCATAATTGGTAAAGAAAGGTATTTTTTGAGTGAAAAAATGTACCAAATTATTATATGTAAACTCTGCCAATGGTAAAAAATTTGTTCAATCATCTTGATGATAGTTAATGGTACATCTCAAATACTACTCCAGAACTTAATTTATCCATTCCGTTTGTCCATCAATTTGAAGATGAAAAGTTGAAGAAAACTTTATATCCACCTTTAGAATCTTGATTGGGGTTCTCTAAAATCTTGATACAAATTGAGTCCCCCTATCTGATATAATATCATTTGAAAATCCATAATAGCGATAGATATTGTCAATGAAAAGCTTAGCTATTTCTTCACCTATGATAGATTTTGTACATGATACAAAATGTACCATCTTGGTAAAACGATCTACTATAGAAGTAAGTAAAAATAGATTAATTTCATAATGTCTTTTAAAAAAGCTTCTTAAAAGATTCATAGATGTAGTTTCATTTTTATACATGACAATAGGTGATTGATAGATTAAAACTTAGCCAACAAGTTAGCTATGTATTGCACTTATTAGCAGCTTATAGTATAAGTTAACAATATGGCATACATATATGAAACTTACTTTGCAAGTTAAGACATGAATCTTACAAATTAAATACATGTCAAAATCCAATAGAATGTTGTCAAGTAGTTCTTAGGTAGACAGTATATATAGAGGCAAGAATGAAGCTTTCATCACTCTTATCAATTCCTTTCTTGCTTCTAGTCTAGTTTCAAGGATGTCTAGTTTTCTTATCTTTTGGCAACAATCATTTTATTTTTTTTAATATATATATATATATATATATATATATATATAGTTTTTTTTTATCCTTTAGAAATAGTCATTTTATTTTTTTAATATATATATATATATATATATATATATATATATTTCTTTATTATTATTTCTTATCATCTTTTTTTAAAAAAAGTCTCACTTCTTTATTTATCTTTATCAAATCCTTATCTTTAACAATGTCATCCAATGTATGCTTCATAAAGCCAAGTTAAACAAGCTTTATTAAAGAGAAGTAGTCGTATATGCAACCTAGCTAAAAAATAAATGTTGAACCAAAATAATTCTATATAATATAACTTCCTTCAAATTTTGGTATAAAAAAATTAAATATAAATATTTTTTATCTCTACTTATTTGATAGCCAATGTTTTACAAAAATATCAAACTGACATTAGGTTAAATTCAACAATAAAATCTACAAGTGAATTATTCTTAGCTACAATTCCTTTAACAGAAGATATAAGATTCAAATACCTAGCAAAGATAAGTTGATTATTTCTCTTCATGTAGTGTTCTAATAGGAATCTGCCTCTATATTCTTCTATCCTCTACAAGCTATATACTTCTCAAATTTTGAGAAACAAATAGATTTAATATTCTATCAATCCACTACATTGTCTTTTTTCAAAGTTCCTATCAATGTTTTCCATTTGCCTCTAATAATATTTATATCAAGCTTGATCATTCTAGATAAATCATTGATTGCTCTATGACCTTTGACTTTTCTTGAGATTATGTTTTCTATGAATTCTACTTCCATGTTGTGCAAGCTAATACCACTTCTTATTCCAACCAGCTCCAACACATCTCTTGTACATTTCCCTCATATTGATTCTCAAGCAATCACTTTTTTGCTCCAAATGTCTATAGTTTGTGATAATTCTTCTATTATTTGATAATTTTTAGTTCCATAGTCTAAACCATGGTTGATGTCACATCTTAACCAACACATCCATCAATCTTACCTAGTATAAGAATAGTCAAATTTCAATTTTATATTGTCTAGGACTAACTCTTGTCCATCCACTACTGTCTCAATTTCCATATTGTCTTACCCAATTAATGGCGTTCCTCTTCTAAGGATCCTACCAAGAAGTATGATCTAAAGTCCTTTTTTCTACCCTCCCAATGTAGTAAACCTTCACAATCTCATTGTATATTGGTCATAGTAAAAGAAGTGATGCTAGACCTATAATATATACCTAAGCCGTAAGCTTTCTTAAGACCTTTTAGTAGAACATGGCCATCACAAAAGAACTAAATTTATATGACATCAATACAACATAGACCTTTAGACACCTTTTTCCTCATCAAAAGCCAATTATATGTAATTGGATCTTTAAAATCAACCTAAAAAGCTCCAAAATAGTAAAATGATTCAAAGCTTGTCTTGTAGTATAGAAATTTAATCAAATTCTTGGCTTAAATCATAATAAAACATTCTTATTTGTACTTTGGATTTAATCAATTTAACTCGTCTTTGTTCTTTTAGTCTAACTTGATCTACATGTGCACAAAATGGATGTTAAAAAAATATTTTGAATCGCTCTTTTTAAAATATATATATGAAGATTTTAGAAGGTGTCACTATCTTGCAACTTGGCATAGATTATCATCATCACAAAACTATCTACAAGTTAAAACAATCTTTCTACAAATAGTTCAAGATAATAAACACATTCTTTGCAACTCTTAGATTTATAAATTCAATTGTTGATGGAAATGTTATTACCTTCATTATAAATTTGATTTTTCTATCCTTATATTATATGTGGACAATACCTTAATAGCAAGTAGTGCCTTTCTATTGCTCTATACTATCAAAAAAAAAATTATATTCACATTTCCTCCTCTCAAATCTTAACAAAGTCTATATTCTCATCCTTGAAATCACCTACAACTTACATCAAGGTTGGATCCATATCATCCAATAATTATATCTCAAGAAAAAATTGATGAACTTTAGCTTTTTTAATTCCACACATGTTTTGATGCCAATTATACTTGGCACCCAACTGTCTAATATAGACTGTCCCTCCACCTTGATAAAACGCCAATAAAGTGTGGAATTTTTGTATGCAAATGCTATGGAATTGCTAAATTGGACTATGATTTGTATGTGGTTTGATATTTTATTTGTAACCAATATCCTAACTCAATATATATACAATACAGGCCTTGTTCATGTCTTTGCTTACAAGCATATTTTTTACTATCTTTAAATAACTTTTAATTATTATATTAAATTTTGTTACTCTTTCTAGTCTCCTAAGCCTCTATATGAGCTTAGTGATGGAAATTAGATTAAAGAGATAGATGAATGCCAATCAACATCCAAATACTATTTCTTTCTCATACATGATGTCATTAGTTAGAGCTTTGCTAGCAATGACCAATAGCCTTTTTCAAGACTAAGACAAAATATATGGCTATAGCCAAGGCCACTTCTAAGATGGTCTAGCTCTATTATTTGCTTCACAATCTTTGTCAATACAAAATCCTAAAACATCTATTCTTACTCCATTAGAATAACCAATTTATACTTATATTGGCTGATACAACTAAGTTTCATTTACACACAAAACATATTGCTATTTGATATTATTTTATATGGCAGCTTGTAAACCTCAACAAATTTCAATTTTGCTAGTGCTCCATGCATATCATAAAAGCTAATCTATTTGCAAAATTATTGTTTAGGCAAAAGCTTGCCTAACACCTTTCATTAATTGGCATGCTTGGAAGAAAAACCCCAACCACACCATGATATGGTTGAGAGGGTATTTAAGAAGATAGAAGTAATTAACCAGCTAGATGGTGTAATTGGTTAAGTTAATGACAAAGTCCCATCTAGTTGAGGAGTGGCAACTCTTCTAGTTGCACCTCCTTTGATTGAATAAACCAAGTGAAACAGATTTACTTTGTAAGAATTACACAATAATATTTATCTTAACACAAATAAGTAATTCTAATAATTTCAGTAAAGATTGCAAGAAACATGAAGATCACAATTTTTTTTGTCAGATATTCAGTAAAAATTGCTTAAGAAAATGAGTGTGTGAATGGTCAATTTTCATTGGCACAGGTCAAAATTGACAAAAAAAAATTAGTTGAATTGTTATGGTTGTTTACAATTCACTTATTTTTATAAAATAATTGTTCATTGCTCACCGTTGTTAATGCAAAGAATGGTATTAAAGATGATTTGTGCAAAATCAAAAAAATTTAAAACCATTTCTAAACTTCTTTTTCTTTTTCTATTTGGATTTGTTTGCTTGATTTGTGGTGTTTTAACTACAACATGATGCAACACGATATCAAGATCTTCTGAGTTTTACTTCTAAGTGTAGATATGGATTTTACAATGTAACTGTTCAACTTTGAGTGCTATCTCAGTTGTATGACCGATTAATTACAATCATTTTGCAAGTCTTAATCCATTTCAGTCATTTATTCATTGTTCCATTGATTTTTATTTTTTTTATTTTTTTTTCCAAAAAAAATCAATGGTTTCCATTTGCTTCACATCATGAATGTGTACAACTCTTATTTCCAACTCTCAACGCATAATGTGTTTTCCGTACACAATAGAATTCCTTATTGAAAAGATACAGTGTTACAGAAACTACAATTATAAAGCAACCACATTTCGTAAAATCCCATCTTTGGAATGCTGATATTAGAATCATTATAAATGACATCTGGGAAGCGTAGAATTTTTCAAACTCACATCCAAACAGTATTTGGTTGAGGATTGCTGAATTTTTCACATGCCTGAGATGTCTGAAGTATACAAGCATTGCATTCGAATCGGCGAGATGCCTAATCTGGAGGCTATACTTGATAGTGACGACAGAATCCTCCATTTCCGAAAGAAGAATTCATTTAAGATTAGATTCAGGTGAACAGATCATTCACGTATTGCTGGCAATATGCTCTTACCTTTCTCAGATACTTCACCTCATGTCCTCTAGAAATATTTACGCCTTCCTGTAGAAATAAACAGTGACAAGCCCAACTAGACGAATCCACACTCAGTACTGTTATCCTGTCTTCACCGTGCGAGTCATTCTCAATTCCCATGTTCGGTGCATTTGGATCTCCTGTTGCAAATTAAGCCAAAAGCATGCAGAACCACCGCATGCGTTCAATTTAGGGCATATTCCGGGAAGCACCTAGGTAAGTAAACACTAAAATTATCTCCAAAAACGAGGAAAAAATCTCAACATTCCTGGCCGTGGAAGAGGGAAAGCAACCCGTATTTCCATGGAATATTCGCATGTATAATATAGATAAGTTTAGCCTGGGTTTTGAAAGCACAGCAGTGAACTATAGATTGGTCGAAGCAGCCGGATTTTTTAAATATAAATATGGAGAGAGTTCAAATTCAGGGTTTACTTATCTGTGATCCATCTCATGAGATGCTCTCGCACCTGCCACCGATTCCCACTTCATCCATGTAAGCCAAGGACCATACTTCATCATCTAGTTCGACCCAGTAGAATTAGGTGAAGAATCGTACATCGAGAAAAAACAATTTACGCGGGTTTGGTCCTATAACAGGAGGCGCCATCCTTGTCACCAATACTCTTGCTCTTGTCCTCAATAACATGAAATAGAATAGTTCTCGAGAACCTGCTCAGAGATGAAACGACCCACCAACTCATTTTAAGCACAATTCTATCCTACAGTTTCGCAATGGTGTATTGTTACAAGATGCACGGACTTGGGTGGATCACTCCAAGACAGCAATGTGCGCATTATCAGCATATCACATTCTCCCGAGGTTTATGAGATAAAAGTTACATCAAGACGAGCAACCCTAGTTGTAAACAGTTTCGCATGTCATGACTCAGGTGGAATGTCAACTCTCGAACTTTCTGAAAGGTGTAAATTACTGCTTGAGGAATTGCAAGTTGTAAATTCAGAAATTGTAATTTGGGTTTGGTGTCCTTACCTAAGGTTTGCATGAAAAGTCAAAATCTCGCCCGCTAATCGCTCCAGAGAGCATCTGAATATTAAGGGATCAGCGTCATTTGCAAACGGTAACTTGGGGGCCTTTTTTCATCTGAAATCCAAGTAGTTTAGTTCATGCGCAAACTAGCATGTCTCTTAGTGCTTATCCTCATGCAATTCACAACACTATCCAACTTGAAGCCTATGCCAATGCTTTAGCTTCTTACCTCTACAAACTAGATCTTAATTGATCTGAACAAACGATATTCTAAAAAACGATGACTAGCAGTTGAGGGGAGAGCTAATCATGAAGATATCGATTCTAGAAGTTCCCATTTAATCAATGTGAAAGAAATTCTGCAAAATTTGTTAAACCAGAGACATTTGATTGCTCATTGTACATTAGCAACTGGAAGCAGAATTATCTACTCCCATTGCCACGGTCTAGTATTCGAAGAAATGTAGATACTAGCTAAACCATCAATTTGAATGAAAATGAATATAGGATCCAAATGTGATGCAATCCAATTCCATCAAAACCTCTCTTAACATTTTTTTCTAAAACTTCTAGAGTTTCTTTTTTCTTTTTTTTCTTTTTCTTTTTCTTATTATAAAACTGGCCATAACTCACTGAAATTTGAATGTCAAGAGACCCTAGAAATGTCTCGGCTTCCCTTAACAAATGCTCCAACACGAATTAGCCGGTTCTGGCCATCATTGCTACAGCATCAGTACCCATCGACACCATCTGGAAATGTGACACACTTGTAGACTTTACATTGTGGGCAAATTACAACACCAACCTGCAATATGAACGCACGCCAAGAAACAATCAGGGTTATCAATCTTCACAACTTAAAGTTCAAGTCTGTGTACTAATCATAAACGTTTCCAATCCGCAATTTCAATTCAATAAAGATCGCTGGAATCTAATATTCATAGTTAATCAATGTCGCTTCGTCATCTGATTAAATGAAGCTGTTGCTTGTTAATGTCTTAGTACATTAAGAGCAGGCATTCCAGGTCCTGCATAGTTGATCACTCAAATATAATCTCATGCAGTAGTGGCAAATGTGACGATCCTCAAAACAACTAGCTGCAAATGAAAGTGAAAGGATCCCTACTGAGAGCATTTCATTAGTATGAAGAAAACCAATAAACTTATGATACTTATGAGGATACGTATTTACTAGAGCATGCAAGTTGCTATTCCTTCTATCATGTTCAGATTTTAGTCAGAAACTGCTAGGGTGTGTTAGGAGGAACTTACAGCTCGACAAGAAGGGCATCGCCGGTAAAATTTGTTAGCCCTCACTTGCACATTCGTTTTCTGCCCTTTGCAAAAATCGCACAACAAAAATCCCTTGCCGTTACATGTGTTGCAAGGCAGATTCATATCACCTTCCTCTTCCGCCTGCCACAGTTGCAGAAGAAGATGATGACGTGCCAAATATGTGGGCAAAGACTACCGACACATAATTATGTACTGTTGACAGATCTGATAATGTTGTAATGGGTTTTTAAGGTTTCAAATGCCAAGCACTCTCCAGTCCGCGGTCGAATGTACGACTCTAGTTTGCCTCACATAGCGCTATCTTGCAAAACAGGATACACGTGGCAAAAGTTTCTAAAACCAAAAAAGGAATTGAGGGAAAATAAAGCTGATATAGACGAGAATCTCTCTGAATTGAGCGATGAAAAAGGTCGATTACACTACGGCGAGCATGTATTTCATAGGTTTGTGTTATCAGATCTTCGGCCCCACATGGGCAACTCGTCAAACAGCCCATTTCTTTCACCAATGTCACTTTGGAGGAGGACGGATAACTCATTCAATTCAATTGCCAGCTAATGACAAAGCAAGAACGTTCACCTATTCCATGGTCTCGGATAGGTGAGTGAGTTCCATGAGTACGCATTCGCGCTAATACGCCTCCACAGCACAGATTCCAATGGCCGACGTCGTGCGACAGGCTACTCTACACAAAGAAGGGGTGCACTCGCACATTCATCCCTCACGCACCCCTCTCCCCGTCAATTTTGCTTAACAACATAGACTGAATTTCGACACAGAAAAGGTTCTCACCGGCGCCGGGGCAGTGATTTCAGACTCAGCTGCGCGCAGAACCTCCACACGCCTGAACCCACAATTAGTCCGGAGCTCCCTGGACACCAAATACGCCACACTGCACCTATTCAGGCGCGGTGAAATGCAGCTGGAAGAAGAGCAAGAGGAGGAGGAGGAAGGCAGGCACAAGAGCGGAGGGGAGGGCAGGGGATGCAGAAAGCCTGGCGTCGACGCCATCGCTGCGAGATCGAATCATCAAAATGGCTTCGACGAACAACCTTGGAGACAGACAGAAAGACACAGAGAGAGAGCGAGTCCCACAAAGACGAGCCTATGCCCGTCCTCCACATTATCCAACGGTCATAGGATCCCCTCCTTCAATCGGGTCTCTTTCTTCCTCGTCGAATCCAACTCAAGTTATTTATTTTTTTGTTTTATCAAAATAATTTAATTTAAAGCACATGAATTTTATTTTTTGAATTATTACAAACATCTCGTTTGGAGGTTTAGGCACTTTGTAATGGAACTTTTGCATTAGGTAGTAGGTAGAGGCAACAAGATATCAAAGAATTTTAAATGGTTTGGAAGGGTATACCTATTTCTCATAACTTACAAAATGAAGGAACGTGAGAAATATGTCGTTATTTTTTCAAAATATATATATTCAAGTTACTGTAAACACTTCAGTTGTTCCCATAGCATTATTTTTAATAATTAAAAAAATAAATTATGTCTACTTCTTGAAGTAATAAACTCCTAAGGTTGGAACATAGTCTAAATTTAGCATGTATTATTTGTCAAATTTAATGTCATACAGTAAATATATTTCTCTTATTTTACTTTATTTTCATCTAAAGAAATTTAAAATTTTGAAGAATTTTGTTTAGTTACAAAAACAAATATATATATATATATATATATATCAACCATCAATTTATTTATTGTGGTATATTTTTTTGAATATTATTTTCCATTAAATTTTCAATAAAATGCATTAAAATATTTTATTAATTTTTCAACATATAATTAATGATTCTAAGAAAAATAATTTTTTATAATGCAATTTTGATTATCACATTTAAGGTTATACATTCCTATTGGCTCAATGTCTACCATAAATTGCTTTATGTGAATGACTTTAGATTTGCATTAAGTTGTTGCTTTGCAAATTATTATTATTATAGTAAAAAATATTATTATTAAGAATTTTATTTTCAAACATAAAAATTATTTTTGAATAAAAATATACCTTATAATAAAATATAGTATCATGTTAGTATATTTTATTATAACACTATCACAAAAAATACTAGAAAAAAAAAAAAACAAAACAAAACAAAAAAAAAAAAAACAAACAAACAAACAAACAAACAAACAAACAAACAAAACAAATTCTCGTATTTTAATTCTTGTTCATAAAAAAATCACTATAACTTCCAAAAAATTGCATGAAATATTAAACAAAAAATGTGCACTTTATCCATTATGGTGTGCATTAACAATGTTTTATAAAATGTATTGTGGTATGTAGCAAAAATTTAAGATAGATTATAATGGCATTGGCAAAAAATGTAATGACATATGATGGATGGCAAGTTGTAATGGCATTAGCAACATCCCTATTCTATTTTTTTATAGAATATAAAAGAATAAATTTAATAATAATTTATAACTTTGTATAAAATAATTTATAATTAATAAATATAAAACAAATTAATATTTATAATTTAAAAATATAATTGATAAATTTATCTTTGACTTCTAATTTTTATTTTTAAATTATGTATTATTTTTATAAAATCACCTATTTATAATTTATACTACAATAATTTCTTAACATAACAACAAACTTTATCTTTTGTTTGTAATGACTACCTTATGATCTTTCACAATGACATTTATTTAATAATTATAGTTTAAAAAAAAATCATTTTTTCATAGACATATATATTTACCTAGATAAGAAATATTAGATAGTTGATAAATATAGGTAGATTTAATAATATCTTGTGATAAAGCTTTGTAGAAGCTCTATAATTGTGGATTTGACAAAAGATGTGTTTATAGTTGATATATAGATTACAAATTTAGCGAAGAAGTTAATCACGTGTTGTACGTATTAGTAGTTGGTGATATAAACTAACCATGTAATACACATAAAGGAAATTTGTCTTAAAAGTTAAACATGTATTGGAGGTTATATAGAACATTGTTATGTAGCTTCTAGTTAAATAATATATATAGAGGCAAGAATGAAGCCTTCTTCATTCTTATCAAAGTCTTATTTTAGAAGTCTCTAATCTTTTTATCTTTGACAATAGCTATTCTAATTTCAATATTATATTAATTTTAAAAAAATGTCTGTTCTTTCTAAGTGATACAAGAGAGTACTGAGGTTTTATTTGTTGTAATTTATGTCCTTAATAATTTGAGAAGAGTGCTAACTCATTGTTCTTATTTTGTTTTAGAAGTAAGTGGATTATTCCACTTTTATTAATAAGTTTTAAAGGTTATGGACTATCCACCTTTAAACATACATTTTAGTCATCAAAAATTGATTTTTTTTTTCTAAGGAAAGTAAACAATCCTTCTTTGTAGAAATTTTCATATGATATTAGAAATTACGGATTATCCTCCTTTAAAATAATTTATGGATTTATTTGAGTAATACATAGAAGGAAATATTATAGAAACTACTCTCGACAAAAGTGAGAATAGATTTGCAACTACTTGTAGATTTTCATGAACTTATCAATACTCTTACAATAAAAATCTCATGTAATTCTAATATCAATTATAGAAGCACTATTTCTATGTCAATGGAAGAAGTCAAAATTGGAGTTCAAAATCTACAGTAAGAAGTTGTGTAGTTAAGAGTAGCAAATAGATCTACCTCACTATTAAATCCAAGAAGTCTTACCACTTGAAATATGATAGAGGCAAAGTTTAGCATACCAAAGAAGTTTGATGGAACAAGATCAAAGTTTCAAAGATTTCTACAACAAAAAAAATTCTATTTGAGATTATATTATTTTCAATATTATAATAAATTTATTTAAGTTGGATTCATAGTAATATTTTTATTTTAAAATATATATTTTTTTAATTTTTACCTTTGATGGAAAAGGATTCAAAATTTTTATATGATCTAAATTCATTCTTATAAGTGATTACAATTATATTTGAAAAAAATAAACATAAAAGAGTAGCAAAAATCAAATTCCTATATTTATGACAAAGATCACATTTAGCTACTATATATGTTGTTAAATTCTAAAACCTTGCTTAGGACATAGATTTGAATGACAAAGTCCTTATCAATCAATTTTGATATTAGTTATAAGATAATACCAAAGATTTAATGCTGATAATGCCAAAAGTAGATTCATTAAAATAATTTATTGATCAAGCCATTGCATGGGACAATAAACTCTAAAAACAAGGATTTGATTAGAGAGGTAAAAATTAAATCATGGAAATAACTTCAAAGTTTTTAAAAGTTTATACATCAAGGCTAGAACTTATGCATATTGACATAGTATGTTTCAAATTTCTTACTAAACAAAAAGAGATTTAATGTTGTCAAAAAGGTTTATACTTATATAATAGAGAACCTCAACATATTATTCAATATAGTCCAAAAAAACAACATAATCACAAAATGGGGAGCATGATTGTTAAAAAATATGGTGTGTTGAAAAATAATTTTTTCTAACTACAATTGAAATTAAGCGGCTAGAATCTTGTGTAATATCTAATAAAGATCATATATATATATATATATATATATATATATTTTCAAATCTCTCATATTAGTTAATAATAGAAGTTTGTTTAGGATCAAAATATTATAAAATTTTTTCTTTATTAAATTTAAAAGCCTCAATATGTTTTATAGTTAAAGACTGTTAAAAAACAAGAAATCTCTTAAGAATACTAAATCCATACATGTAGAAGTTATAGATGGTCATTTATTATCTTCTAAAGATAATACTTATGAAATTATTCTTTCAAATATAATTATTAATAGATATAATAGGTTAGTAATATTTAATAAGATTAGATTTTTATCTAATTTAGTTATTATAGAATTATCCTAGCTAAAAAAATATAACATTCAAATAGATAAGATTTCTTGTAAATTTAATTTTTTGTATAGTTTAATTTAAAATTATATTAGTCATGTAAAAATCTATAAATCCAATATAACTAAATTCTTATTGTTAGGTGTAAGAATTTTCATATATGTTGCAAAAAAAATGTCACCTTTTATTATTTATGCCACATCCATTTCTAATGGTAGAAATATGTCAAGTGGCATTCTAAGCTAGTACTAAGATTATCAAAATATTTTTGAAAAGAATAATGCAAATATTCTTTTAGAATATCGTTCCTATGATTATTCAATTGATCTTTACATAGAAGCTCAATTGTCATTTTGATCAATCTATAATTTATTACAAAATAAGTTGGCTATACTCAAAGAATATATTGACAAGAACTTCACTAAAAACTTCATATGCCATTCTAAATCTCCAAAAAGAGCTCTTATCTTATTTGTGAAGAAAACAAAATGGATTTTTTCAGATGTGTATAGACTATTATAAATCTAATAAAATCACCATCAAGAATAGGTATCTTTAACTATTGATTTTAAGACTTATTCACTAATGATTTATACAAAAATAGATCTATAAAGAGCATATAACATGGTACACCTTAAAAAAGGAGTTAAATGAAAGATTGTATTTTGAACCAAGTATAGATATTTCAAATGTAATGTCATGTCTTATAGATTTATAAATACATGAGTTTCTTTTCACTATCTAATGAATGATTTATAAAATCTATTAAAGTCTATGAAGATCCACTTTATAATCTATTTATCTTATCTTGAGCTATATAAGATAATAGATATACTAGAAAAAAACAAATGTCACTTCTTTCCATAGAAGAAAAAAATAATCAAGAGTTTGGAGTCAAAGAAGTTTTAGACTTAAGGTACCATTAAAATAGATTGAAATAACTTCTTCATTGGCAAAGATATGATATTAATAGATGCACAAGAAAGTCAATCAAGAATCTTACAAATGCAACAAAGAAAGTTTATACTTTTCATTGACGACATCCATCAAATTAAGATAAATGATAGCAAATCTTTACTATAAAAGAAACAAGGTTCAAGAAAAATTGCATTCTACCTTCTATTTTTATTTATAATTTTTTATAAATTTGTAGTATTAAAGATATGAAAAATCAACAATAATAGATTCAATTTAAGAGATATTGTTTGTTGAGTTATTGGAAGAGACACTAAAATTGTTACAACCTTCAAGACTGCATAATAGAGATAAAGACTTTCAAGAATGACATATTTTTCTTTGAATAGATGGTAAAATTTAATATTTTGGATAACACAACCTTAGAAGAGACTTCCAATTTTTGATAATATTATTGGAGATAAGAACTACCTTTGAAAATATTTTAAATGTTTTATTTAAATAAAGTTATAAAGGCCTTAATAATGTTCAAATATCAAGGTGGTCTTTTTGCTATGTTTTGTGATACTATTTATGGCTAAGAGGATCTATCAATCACCTTTAAAAGAAACAAAGATCAATATATGTCACAAATATAATTTATTGCATCTTAGACTTCTTCAACATATGATTATTGCTCTTCATGAAAATTGTCTTTAAAAATAGGATATATATCATGGACAAATATATTTATTTACATAAAAAGTTTTACATAGAGAATAAATATAGATATATTTAATAATATCTTATAGCAAAGCTTCTCAAAAACTTCATAAATATAGATATGACTTGAAACATGTTCGTAGTTGATTGATAATTTAAAAATTTTGCCAACAAGTTAGTTACATCTTATATGTATTGGTAGCTTGAGATACAAGCTTACAAATTGGCATACATATAAGAAACTTATCATATAAGCTAGAAACATGTCTTACAGGTTAGACATATGTCAGAGGTCCTATAGAAAGTTGTCACATAGCTCCTAATTAGATAGTATGTATAGAGACAAGAATGAAGCCTTTTTCATTCATGTCAATACCTTTCTAGTCTTTAGTCTTATTTCAAAAGTCTTTAGTTTTTATTTTTATTTTTACAATAGCTATTTTACTTTCAATATTATATTAATTTTGAGTAAATATCTATTATTTTTAAATGATCTAAGTAAGTATTGAGATTTTATTTTTTGTGATTCATATCTTTCATACTTATGTAATATCAATAAGTTATTAAATAGGATTATATTTGTATATATTTAATTATATTTTTTCCAATAAAGATACTTTTTTATTACTTTCTAAGATTTTTTTATTCAAATAGGATGTTGATGGTTTTTATAAAATTCTATTCTATTAAAAAAATCAATTATAATTTTATTATGTATTTGAAGATATTTTTACCAATAAATATTTAATTTTAATATAAAATATAAGAAACAAATGACTATTTAAGAAAAAAAATTATATGTATATATATATATATATATATTTAAAATTTAAATTATAAATTATAATTGATTTAAATTAAAATTTATATAACTATTATTAATATTATTTAATTTTATTAAATTAAATTAAAATATATAAACATTAATTAGATAGGAATTATTTTACAAAACTTCAACAAAGTTTCTTGAATATAAATTAGATTTATATGTATTCTATATCATTATGATTTTTTTTTTGAATCATAAAAACCATAATAGAAATATTCTTTAACTTAAAATTTTTCATATAAACATTACAATTCTTAAGAGGCTTTCACATAGTTTCTTTTCATCTAAGTTCATCTTCGATTTTGTCAATGTCTTTCTTGTATTCTAATCTTAGTTCAACATTTTTTATTTATTTTATTTAATAATTTCTATTTTAATAACTTCTTCTCTTGAGAATATAATTCTTATTAAATTTCTTTTTCTTTTCAACACTTTTAAATGAACATATTTTCTTTTGATAAGTTTATCTAAATTGATATCTTTGATAGATTGTACAAATCTTTTCAAATATAAGATAGCTATAAAATGAATTTGTTTGAAGAATAGAAAAAACCAAGGCAACTTAAAAGAAATAATAAAAATCAAAAATAATGTATACCACATCATTTCTAACTTAAAATTTTAAAATGGAGATTATTTCTGAAAGAAACAAAGTAGAAGATTAACAAACCTACTTGTGATAAAATTCTAAAAACTATATACTTAATTTTTTCTTTTTAAAGTTGTAATGAATATATACATTTTTGTGATAAAATTCTAAAAACTATATACTTAATTTATTTTTTTTAAAATTTGTAATGAATATATACATTTTTTCAAGAGATATGATTGAATAATAAATAACTAACTTCTAATTATGAATTCAATAATATTGCATGTACAAAGTTAGTTCAAAAAATCAAATAACAATTTTTATGTGGAAGAATGACTTTCATAACATGAAAATAAGTAACAACAACCACAACACAAACAAGATTTATAAATGTAAAAATGTTTTTTTTTTAAATCCAATAAATTGAATAAGTTATTTATAACTTTCAAACAATGAAACATTCTAAATGATACGTTTTTGCCTTTTCAATTCTTATTGTTTCTAAAAAGCATCAAGTTTCTTCAAAAGCATTAATAAATTTTTGATTTGCACAATTATTTTAATTGTTAATGCACATTATATAAAGGACTTTGACATCAATTTTAATTACACAAAAATTTCCTATTATGTACTTTTGGTTTCGGATATCACCTAGAATTAAATTGAAAAAAATGATTTCTTCTCAACTAAAACCTAAAATATTACATCAATAATAAAAGATTCTTTAATCAGCATATCATTATTTCATTAAAAGAACACAGAAGTCTAATTTTAACTTGTTTATATTTTCTGTGCAATAATTTGTTTTTAAAACTAAATAAAGAAATATGATTTATTCTGTTTTCATCTTTCCTCTTTTATTTTTTATTCTTTTTTGTAATTTATATAAGGTCAAAGTAACATTCTTTAAACTTTATTTTAATTGAATATATACACTTTGACATATGGAATAATTTTTTGTCTAAAATTGTTAGTTTATGTTAAAATAATTCATTTGATAAGAAAAATAATTTTTTTATAAAATAAAAAGGTGACAATTAGTAAATATGTGTGTTTATGCATATATATATATATATATATATAAATATAAGGAAATGTTGAATAGACCCACGTGTTCACTAAATTGACCCATCCATCATTAAAAAAAACAAACTTCTAGATTCATTTCTCCACTATTGGATCCAAAAACAATAAAAACCAACCACATTCATCATGATTACCATATTCTTTATCATGGGTAGGTCAATTTAGTAATGTATATATAAACACACATACATACATTCAAGCAATTTGCTAATGTCTAAGACACATCGTACAACCAAGATCCTTCCAATAAGTGAAAGGCACACCACTCGGAACATTTACATAGCAAAGGATGAAATATTCAAGTGGACACTTGGGCACAAGATCTGTTAAGCAACCATCTGAAACCCAATATCCCTAAACAAGCACCCCTGCGCAAGCACAGTCTGCCGCTGACGCTGCCGCAACCGCAAGTCCAGTCGGGACAATGATGTTGACGCACACGCACGGTGGCCACGAGGTGGTGTGCGATTTGGGCATATGACGGCGACTGCGCCCAAATGACGGCACCTCATCAGCAAGACGGCTGCGCAATCGCAGTCCTATCACACCTTCTTTTTCTTGCTGCTGTCTGCGAGCGCGCTGTCGCCGCTGCCATGCATGGACTTCACTTTGGTTCGAACCTCAGACAAGTAAATTTGGATGTAAAGCTCCGCGAAGCCGCAGTTCAGAGCCACGGAGAGCGGGAAGCTGTAATCAATCGCCTGCTCAGGAGGAATCGACGTCCACGCAAACAGCACCGGTAACGTGCGGGTGTACATCACCGAGTACCTGCAGGTGATCCCCCACGTTAGTCTGTAGTCTCCAGGTTTTGAATTTGCAAAAGCAGCGCCACGGATCTTAACGATGCAGGAAATTTCATCATGAGGCAAACGGTTGAAGCATCTCGTAGGGCGTTACCCGATGGCGGCAGAGCGGAGCATCCAGCGTCGGTGGCGCCCGAAATCCTTGTTCCGAGCCGCGTTGATGGAGATTGCGAGGGCTGTCAAAGTCGAGATGGACATGAACGGCGTCATGGCCACGGCTATGGGACCCAGCTCGGTCGCCTTTAGCATTGACGTCCCGCCAGTCACTGCTGTGATGACGGTGCAGGCTGCGAATGCATAACCGAGCCGTTTGTGAGCAACGGGGAATTTGTTTCGGAATGAGGGGTTAAATTGCAGCGGTCCAATGGTCACAAACGCCAGGGCTGCTGCTGCATGAATCTGAAGGTAGGAAAGCAACGTCGGTTAGGGGCCACGAATCGGAACCGAGCTTTTGGGATGGAACTGAGCCCCCAGGAGCCTGTTTGCTGTTGGTCCATCTGCCGATCCGGGGCAATGCAATGCAGGAACGGAATTGCGATCCGCACCCACTGCTCGAATCTGTTCTGCCAGAATCAAGTTTCGGGCAACTGATAAAGAAAATAGGGAAACAAGCAGCGACAAGCCTGGGACACTCACCTGCCATGTCCGGAGGTTGTTCAAAACATGAAGACCTGCCGATTCCAAGTCCCCGAGTGAAGCCCTCACGGTCAGGTATCTGTAAATCTCGAACTTGCCGTATATAAAGGGCACAGTGTAGATTGCGAATGGCACCGAGTGAATGGTGACAATCCACCAAGCGATGTTGCCCCACGTCCTCATCCATGCTCTCTGGTCCGTCCCCATCTTCGAGACTCTCAACGTCACCGCCAATTCTCTCTGGCTCGATCACAAAGCAGGCGAACATGAATCTCGTCTTAATTTTATATAGCAAGCGGGGAATTATGCCCAGTTTCGTGGCATTGTTGATTAAGCGAGTTAGGAATTGCACGCGGAGATGGGTGCCCGTCAAAGGCCCCATAATGAAGATCCGCGCGCTCCGAAGGTGAAGCGAATGCCTCTCCTCAGCTGCTTGGAACCTCCCCCTGCGAAGACCCCCGCGCTCCGAAGGTGAAGCGAATGCCTCTCCACCGCTGCTTGGAACCTCCCCCCGCGAAGACCCTCGCGAAGACCCCGCCATACCGACTTCCCGGGGTCTTCCCTTGATTCCAGGCCAACATGATGGTTTAGCCCTCTTTGACTTTGTATTTTGTTTGTTTTTCTTCTGAAAGAATCTCAGTCCAAGAATAGTTTGTATTAATTAATTAAGATACAATCTTAGCTTTTAATGCTTTGTTTATTTGTTGTGATGGTTGAATGCTTGATCTTTAGTATCAAATTCTTTCATCAGTACGTCATTGCTTGGCTATTCATGCACTAGAATAGAGTTTGAAATTTCTCTACAATCGTTCAATTGATGACGTTTTGTTTATTTCTTAAATGTGTGTTCCTCTTTCCACTTGATGATGCATCATTACTAGAAATAATATTTTGATTTCTGCATTTATTTACTTATTTTAAAATTTTTAATATTAGTGTTTAGTGCCCTCTTATCTTTATCATTTGAGTATAATTATTCACCACTTCTTGTTTGCTTATTTTCTCATTTTGTTGTGTTTTTGTTTTGTTTTAACATTCATGAATTATTTTTTTAGATAGAATTTAACTATTCTATTATTATTGCACTATTAATCTTTTAGTTATTTAGGCAAGGATGACAATAAAAAATTGGATCAATTTGTAAAATTGATATGGATTGAGCTTGTCAATATTGTTTTAAATAGGTCATTATTTAAAAAATAACTTTATAAAAATAAAAATAAAAATGTTATAATGTAAGTATTAGACCTTGAAAAGTCCAAACAACAAGTTTTGACCTTATCCAAATGTAGCTTGTTATCTATTAGAAAATATACAAGGTTGTTGTTATCTTTAAGAAACCTCTTGTAGAAACAAGTTTTATTCCAAATCACTTGTTTCTATATACTAGTATTATTTCAATAGATTTACATCTTTTTGTAATCGTTGTCTTACCAAGGACAAGAACCTGAAGAATAAAAGTAAACAAGTGAGCTGTGTCTCAAAGCAAGATGACGAGAAGGGAACAAGAAAATAAATGAATCTCGTCTTAGTTTTATCGAGCAAGCGGGGAATTGTGGGCAGGCCACCCCGAATTTACAGAAGCCCAGTTAGGTGGCAGTGCAGGCATGAATGGTCGGGGGATAGGGGCACCTTTAGTGCACGCGGGGGTGAGTGCCCGTCAAGGCTCGCAAGGAAGACCCCCGCACTTCGAAGGTGGAGAGAATGCCTCAGGTTGTTGAACTTTATTGAAATAGTTTAATGGGTGCACGATTCGAAGATGATTCCTCGCTTAAAGTGGAGTGTATTTGAGTTTGGACAAAGTGCATCGATCTTTTATAATGTTGAATGGACCTTTTTTCTATACTTTTCTTTTAATCTCTTTACAGTTATTGCTTCTCTTATGATGTTGTCCAATAAAATTTTACAGATATTGCTTATCGACTATGTTGTTTCATAAATCCACAACCCACGCGCACGGAAACCAATCGCTGAGAAGTTGCTCAACTTGCTAGCCATCCTGAATCACATCACAATGGAACATATCACCCTCATGCTCTGAACATGGAACACAAGTCGGGCTACGCAGACAACCGATTTGAGAGACACTTCACAGTGTATGTGCTCTCCTTTGATCACTCTCAAATGGTACTGTCGGAGAAGACTACTCGCTGGGATGAGGACGAGTTTCATCCTCTCTGGAAGCTCGAAACTCGGGCAGGTAGATTTGGAACGCTGATCCTCCAGTGATGAAATCATTCAGTTGGCAGATGAGCATCTTGGGTTCTACAGTTGGGTTCAGAGGATTGAGTTTCAGGATTTCGGGTTATGGCATTTTGTTGGGGTCAATGGTATTGGCTGTGATGGTGGGATCCGAGATGTGTTGCTTCCGGTGAACGATGAACTAGAATGATGCGGAAGAGTTCGAACCCATCGAGCAGCGAGCACGCCCCGAAGATGTGTTCAATGTGTTCTAGAATGCTTGAGTGATGCATTTAGGCAGCGGTTCGCTGAGCTATGGAGGATCTGACCCCCGCAACTTTCAGTTATGGAGGTCAGCGAAAGATTCGGGGATTGCGGAGGGTGCGCGGCTCTGGCTGCTCATGGGCTAGAGTCATTCGAGCTCTACTCGTGTCGGTATGCGCGCTGTCTCTTGTGGGTGGCATCATGCTCGCTGGAGAGTTAGCGTCATCTAAGTGGGAGAGTGGTGGAATCAGGTTAGGGTTGGCGGGACGTAAGCTACCGAGCGGGCAGGTTTTCAGGGCTAGCAACGACGAGCTTGCTGAGTCGCAGTCCTTTGATGTACCTCCGGTGAAGCAATGGCATCAGAGTGGGGAACCGTTGCAGTCCAACGTGGAAGCTCTGAGGCTTAGCGAGGGGAATCAAGGAACAGAATCTGCTAAGGAGAAGGCGAATAAACGACTTGTGTCCAGAATTGGATTCGGCTCATGCACGTCGAGAGTGGCTATTGATCAGCCTATTTGGGTTAATGGGGTCATTTCTAGCGACATTGATGCGTGGATCTGGTGCACCTTCACAATCAAACCTCTGCTCTTTCCCCAATTAGATGCAGATATGCTTCTATAGTGACATCCAACCCCTTGTGTGAATCGTTGAAATGCACGTTAGCGAATTGTTCTCTCAAAATCCATTGAGCGAATTCAGATGCTACAAGAGAATCTTTTTGTGCAGTCTATGCATTGTGTCGAGCTTTCGCTCATAGGTATATCTCGTCAGGCGTCGTGTCCTTGATTGGAAAGAAATAGATTTGTGTGTATGATTCTAGGCGGAAGAGTTGCACTGCAGGGCTGGGGATATCGCTTACACGGATTGGCCGGATGTCAACTGTGCTACGAACCCCTCTCATATCCATTGCAACTGCGAACGAGACTGGCTTCGTTCGAATCCTGACTCTTGTCTAGCGGGTAGGTCTGCGAACTATTGCTCCAATAAGTTGACGAATGGTTCAGCTCGTGCCTACAGTTTTTTTTAAAAATTCACTGAAATTGCACAGTGGTACTTGTAGTTGTTTCACTAGTGCACCGGGCACTATGAGCACTATGTTTTTATTTTTATTTTATTTTGTTTTGTTTTTGTCTACGCTAGTAAATTGCATGAAATAATTTGCAGGAGATGTCGCACATGCTCGGTTAAAGTTTGAGGAACAACTCAGCAACCTGGATTACAACAAGGTATGGAGCTTTATTGTTAGATCACCTCAGTATTGCTTGTGCACAACCCGTACCTTTCACGCCGCATTTCTCGACAGCCTTTTTCTCGTCCCTTTCTTCCTCAATTGATTCACTGGTTATCCACGACAGAGATTTGATTCTACCCTGCAGTCTCGGATTGCTTTTGAATTACATTCTGCCAGTGCTATTTTATTTTTTATTTTTTAAATATCAATTGAGGACAAATTTGTGGACTGCTTTGTACCAACACTTCATGTATCTGAGGCAGTTCGTGGATTTTATGTGCTCCACTTCAAGGGAGCACCCTTGGAGAACACTGGATTTATCCTTATGTGATAGGCCTATCCTCGGCACCTGGGACGATCATGATTATAATTGGTGAGTCTGATCGATGCATCATCACTTTGATTCGTGATATTTTATAAAGAAGAGCTTGTTCAGATTATTTTGAAATTTATCGTCGCAGTTAGGAAGCTTATGACTGAATGGATTGGAGTTAGGCAGGACGGTGACAAGCGCATGCCCACAAAAGAAGAACAGAAGCAGTTGTATTTGGATGTCCTGGGAGTGCCTGCAAGCAGTATCCGACGTAGCACTGGCAGAGGCATATACTGGAGGGTACGTTTCTCGATCCTTTGATTTCTTTCATAACTGAAAGAAGGAATTTTCATCAATTAAACTTATTCTGTTCTTTCTGATTACAAAATGTCCTCAATCCTTGTCACCTGCAATGAGATAATTGTTTTGGCGAAACCAGTTCTAATTCGTTATAAGTTTACTCGGTCATGGTAAGCTGAAGAAGTGATTGATGTCGCTTGTGCCAATCATTGGTGATGTTCCTCATGCCCGTCTGTGTCATGCAGCACACGTTGAATGAAGGTGTTGCTGGAAAAGAGATAGACGTGCTCCTTTTAGATGAGCGCTTCCATCGTGATACCAAGCCATGTCATACTCGTCGGGATTTTTGCAGTTTCACAAACCCTAAGAAGACCAAGTACATGTGGTAGTTATCTTTGTCTTTGCTCGCAATGAATTTTTTGATCCCATTGGTGCCGGTATTCCACTCCATTTATGAAGGCCTAGTACGTTCAGTGTCGAATGTGAAGCTTAACTTTGAATCCATACCTTGGTGGGCGTGTTGCACCAGGTGTAAGGATTTTCTAGAAGGTGGTGAAGATGGAACTGGGTCATGCTGCAAAAAAGACGACCAATTTTGGCAAGGTACCGAAGTAACTACATCAGTCGCTGATAACAAATTAAAGGGCAATTACCTTCTCTGAGGATTTCTTGTTATGCGGTCCCATATTTTCCTATTTCATCTTAATTTGATAACTTACATTTAGGTCATGTGTTACGATCAAATGCATCTATGATCTAAAACATCTTTGCAGTTGACATGAAGGGTAAAGTAGTGTATTTGATTTGTCCTGTGTAAATGAATGCCTGGTATGGAGGTGCCTCCAAACATGCTCAAGGACATGTGTGATCGGCTGACTTTTAGAACTAATTTATTTAGAAGCTGTGGTGTGCAGGGTGGTGCAAACTACCCCAAAGTCTTGCTAATCCGTTATGGGACCAAATTTGTAATCCAAAATCATCGTCATATGGCTTTGTGGATGCATCTACTGCCAAAATGATTGCTAACAACTTAACAAATGAATCTTTTTCGTGGAGCATGATGGTCCACAATGATTCTACAAGTGATTCAAGTGTACTGTGTGAGGTACACCTTTCTTCCTTAAATTCATCTAGTAAAATCACGTAGCTCATATTTCTGAAATGTTATAAAACTCACAACCTCTAGACCTAGTCCCTTTAGTACATGTTAGTAGCACAACCTTTCTCTGATAAATTTGAAACCTGCATCTGATAAATGGGAAGCTTTACTTTCTCTGTGTAGATTTTGGGCCCAAAGCAACGGAGATGGCTAAAACATGAGCTTCAGAGTTCTGGAGCTGCCTTGAAGCTGGTGGTTTCTGGCTCACCTCTCATCAGCAACCCCAAGGAATTCGTAAGCTTCAAATGATAATCGTGAATGATTGAAAAAAGCTGTGTCGATTTAGCCGAGTCTTAAAGCACATCAACCCAATTATACTTCACATTGTGCCTCACTCCGTAGCAATGGACAACAATAGAGTGCGTTCTTGTCACCATACACATGGCTCTTGTGTGTTCCTCACTGAGTCCGTTTTGAAATGATGTAGGTGTGCAGCCAAGCCAGGAAGAAACATCCAGCTGCATATTGCAAGTGCTACGATGACTTCGACTGCTTCCAACCTGCCCAACGAAACCTTGTGCACATGTTTGCGACTGCACCTGGTTGTGTCGTTGTTTTGACTGGGGATTTCCACTTTTCAGACATTAAGGCACGCTATTCAAAACCCAAAAGCGTTGTTTACATTGTCAACCTAGTTCTCGGATTCTTTATTATTCATGAACTCCAGTGCAGTTCTTTCATCCTGATTCCTTTACCTGGTACATCTCTGTCATTTATTCCTGTTCTCACTGAAACCAGCAGATTTGTGTTGACTCTGTTTATTCCCTGGGCACAGATTTTGCAGCCTGGGAAGCGTATGTATAGTGATGAATACGACAGTGCAGACCTCCCTCGACCTCTAGTGCAGGTTCGGCATACCGCTTTGGCCTTTTAGTTGTGTGGGGTAGGATAAAGCATACTTGAGATTTTAGCATTTACTACGATTTTTTCGTAGCAATTGTGCGGACTTTTTGTCAAATAACGATTGTTGTCACTGGTCTACAGGAACTCTATTGAATTACATGTGTAACATTTTTATGTCTGGATATGGAAGTATTTATGCATAGACAATTGAGTACGCAAGTTTTGTTTCGTTTCAGGTCATGGCTAGTGGCCTCACCAACAATACGGCTGTCCCTGCTCCTTGTACAGGTTGGTTGCATCTGCATTTTTCTTTATCGTACAAATGCTTGGTCTATTTGCATGCTTGTTTGAATCCCTTTTCTCGGGTTTAGGGTTTAGCTTTAAGGTTTACGGAAACAGTTTGTTTAGGAAAATGCATTGTTGCACTGATGGTTTTATGTAGGCACTTGATATTTGCCTCTCTGCTCGCCGCATCCAACATTTTGCAAACGTGCGTGACTCTTCCCCCTTGTGTCAGGGTTTCGCATTGATAAAGTAAGCCTGAGACCGAACGGCCCGTGCGATTTTGTGTCTGGCCCAGCTTTCGGGTTGATTGAGGTATGTTGAAATTCCTCCCCCTTATCGCTCTCATTGAAGTTAGAAAAGTATTCATTCTAAGGAGATTGCATTTTTTCATAACCTTCAGGTTGAGTGGAATACGTCACCTCCGCTGGCACGGCTTCAGATTCGTGGTGAAGGAGGTCAAATGCTCCTTGAACAGACACTTACTTTAGATACTTGTTTTCCAGTGGCTTAAAATTCTTCAATGAATCTCTCTCTTCAGTAGTTCTGACTTATGCTGATGGATATTTACTGTGTATCCAAAGCTAATCTCCGGTAGTACCAGGTTTTGCTTTCGCAGCAGAGCTTGTAAATTAATCCTCTCCAGAAGAGGCTCAGATTTTCTGCACATAGAGAATTCCTTCCCCGAGAGACTGCTGGAAGGGATAGCAGCTGCCCAAGTGCCCTTCAATAGGTACAAGAAGTACTCAGCATGCATATCCTCTGCACTATGCTGTATTCTTTTTCTAATTTAAAAAAAATAAAGATCCAATCGTTAATACCTTGGAGGCCGTTTTGAATGAGATGCTAACCCATATATGGTGAAGGTAATGCTGTTCAAGTTGCAACCAACGAAGTAATAATGTGTTTTATGTTGCAACGTATTATTTGTTTTTGCGTATGTAACTCAATGTTATCATGGTTACTGATGTGGAGTTCAACAACACACACTTTGGTTCGTTTGTAATACTTAAGTTCATGAATTTTATCAGTTTTTTAACAATATTTGTAAGAATTTCTTTTCGTTTTATAAAATTGTCCATGTTATAATATAAAAATGAAAATTAAATAATTCCAATTCACCAAATTTTATCAAAAATGAGAATTGACTGAGTTATTAGGCGCACAAATTTTTAAATTTTGAGTAAAACTAATACAAATAAAAAAAATCTATTTTATTGTTTAAAGTTCTTGTATGTATAAACGTAAACAGTAGGAAATAAAAACAAACAAACCAAACAAAACAAAACAATACAAAACAAACAAGCGTTGTTGCAATTGCATGTCATCAAGTTGCAAATTAAAATAGAGAAAATTGTCAATTGAAACTTTTAACAAAGAACCACTTGTCAGATCAGAAGAGGAATCTGACAATTGGGAATGTCCAACCTCAGAAAAGTGCCTTGAGCTTGACAGCGTCAGTTAGAAATCGGTGCTCTGGTTGGGGTCACTGCTCACTGGCACCTGCTCCTCACTCAGAAATTACCGCAAAGCTGTTCGACCAGCTTCGATGGCATTCATCTCTCGCAAATTCGGCCCCTGTAGTTGCATGTTAATGCCGTAGCCTCACCTAAATAATATCATGTGTCAATAGCTATTGTATGGTGGCATGCATCCTCAGAATCAACTGAAGAGCCACTTAAAAGCCACGTTTAATATAAATCTGATCCCTTTATCTATTTATTAGTTACAGTTGACCCAGCTCGAGGATACATCCAAGAACAGCTTCGAACGGAGTGGAACAATTTCTGGTCTTCGTAATTTTTGGACTTGTGTTTTGTAAACAATTTGTTTGGTTAGCCACTGTAGCATCATACGTCCATAAAACAAATAGCCTACATCTAGATCCGTCCATCCCAGTGACCAGCACAAGTACTTTCAGGCTAATCAATCCTCCACAAATGTTCCTGTGCAGAACAAAGCCTTTTGCAGGGTTCGCTCTCTGGGAAATATTACATGAAAAGATCATCAGCCGTCCAAAAGCTGCACCCAGCTTGTAGAGATGGTTATTTAACCAAAATGACTTCACTGGTCGACATCGTGGCAATTTGCACCTGGGAAGTAGAGGTTGCCTGGTGCGAGGCTATGGATTCCAGGAGTAGAGCGTTGAATTGCACTGGATCATCCCACATTGGCCAATGCGAACACTGCAACAGCAACAACCATAACAATCGCCACCCAAAGTCAAGAACCAAGCGACATAGTACCTCCTGGAGGCGGACGCAATTCGATCAAGTGGAAACCCTAAAGAGAAGCTATTGTAACAGAAAGGTAAGGGGATCGAAGAGAAGGAACCGACATGTGGGAGACGCTTGACCTCGGAGTTGGGGGCGATTTTCTTGGGGATCACGGCCAGCTCCTTCCCAATATAAGCATCAAGGTCACCCCAAATGAGAACAACAGGCACCTCAACATGTATAGGCTTGGGTGCATCTGGAGGTGGAGACCAATACCCTCGGACCCACGCTCGGTAATATTTGGAAACACTTGTCACAAAAAAAAAAAAAAAAAAAAAAAAAAAAAAAAACTCTTCTACGTTTTCCTGCATTCTCTTGCAACAAACATCTGAACGTCGCAAACAGTTCAATTACCTGTCAATGTCTTCAGGTTGATCTTTAGTGTTACCAAAAGACGCCCTTAAAGTCTTAAAACTGTACACAGTCACCAAAAGGGCAATGACAGTTTAAGCTCAGAGAAACCCATAACAAGAAGAAATTATGTACAGAAGATGTTTGAATATCCAGGCCTTAACTTCGTTTGTGAGGATTTCAAAAAGGGTCGGGTCCAAGGCCAAGAGTGATATTTCAGAACAATACAGGTAGAGAAGCTTAATCTCCATGACTCATCAACCATTCAGGAACCCAAGGCAGCTGAAAAAACCCTGAGCACAGAAACCAACATCAACTAATGGTGAAACAAGTGCCCAGTTCACGTGGACATCTGCATTGAAAGGAAAAAATCGGGGAACGTATCATGTGGTAGGAGGGCAATAAAGGGAACCGAACAAGCAATAAATTGAGCATCAGAAGCTGTATCATTGGACATCACACATAAAATCAGTGTCCACGGATGGGAATAGGAAACGCACCAACATACCAACTCCGACGCATCTGACGGAAGTTAGAACGGACGGCTTCGCTAAACACTGTCGCATGAGGTACGTTAACAAATATTGCCTTCACCTTGTCCGGGAAGTCTTCCACCAATGCCCAGGTCACGAATCCTCCCCAATCATGCCCTACCTGCACTTCACACAACACAGATTGAGAATCTGCAAGTATTCTACCATCTTCAGCAGACCTTCCAGGAGATGCCGAAGTGGGGAATTATTATTGTTAGTTTTTTGGAGTTAGACGCAAGCACTGCTGGAAATATATGGTGGAGAGAAGGAACACTAACCACCGTGGATGGCTTCCCACCACCAAGTCCATCAATGATGCGAACCATGTCCGAAACCACGCCACACCGGCCGTAATGCTGTATGCCTTTAGGCTTGGAGGATGAGTTGTAGCCACGCAAATCGGGTGCAACTACATGGTAACCTGATTCAGCCAACGCTAGAAACTGGCGCTTCCAAACATACCAAAAATTCGGGAAGCCGTGAATCAACACAACCTGGAGAGAAAACGCGGAAATCAATATGTAAAAACTCCTCTCTGTGCAAAGAACACACTGTCGTATAATAACCTACATTTATGAGTTCATGGCATTCTGAATGAGTATGATAGGATCGGTTACCAGTTCTCCGTTCTTGTCTCCACATTCCACATAGTGGATTTTTACATCTTCATTCCACAGCTCCCCATGCTGGACTCGACAATCTTCCACCACCTCTTCCATCCCAGCTTCCTTGTCTCTTTCCATGTCCAACTCCTCTGGGATAGGTTGTGCTACTGCATAACTTCTCGACAGAGCTGTGCGGTTCGCAGCAAGTGTTAACGATTGGCAAAAGTCTCGTTTAGGGAAGAATTAGCAATGATCTCTAATGTTTGATCTCAAATCAGCTGGAGTGGCACAACTAGGAGCCAAATCTAGAGGAGTAGGAAGCGAAAGAGGGCCAAACAACATTGAAAATGAGGATGCCCCACCAGAAATTTGCGGTGGAGGTCGACGCAGTGCCCAGGAAAAGAAATGTTTTTTGCCGACCACAGGTGGTTGGGGTCCGTTCATGATCTCAGACCGTCCTATCCGGCCGTATGAAGATAATTCAATTCGCCGGTTTGTGTCTGCACAAAACGTGGTTCACAAGGGTTTAGGTCATATAACCACTGCTTTGGAAGCAACGCAAACATACGGCAGAAACAGATCGTTCTAGGGGCATTGTGAAAAGCCTCACAAAAGTTTAAACGGCGGGGTGTGGAGCTAATGGATTTAGAGCCAGATGCGGTGGAGCATGTCCGCGCCGCCTGCGTTCCAACAAAAATTACTAGCCCTCTCCTCATGTGCACCTGCGATTACGTTTCAGCGCCCGGCACACAAATTATTTTTGTGGCAAAGGAATCAATTGGAGGTGCAAATTCGAGTTTCCATTCCAGAAATGCTTTGAACGGATTTTAAAACCTTCGGAAGTAGCACACTCAGACCGCTCTTGAAAACTACCATCAAATATCTACGATACTTCGATTCCGCTTCAAAAAAGCTTGGTGCTCTTCCAAAATCTGACCAGGTTTGATACGTGCACTAGGACCTCAGAAGGTTCTCATCCAGCCGAAATTTCGTCAACACCTCGAACGTGGAAACTGTGGCTTTCAATCAGCTCAGCGATTGCCTACTCCTTCGATAAGAATTTGCGAAGAGGCTGTCGCTGCGGTGGAACCAACGAAGAGTACCGGAATTTCTGAAATCCCATGGAATTCCATGCATGTCACCCACCTTCCTTGACAATTTGAACGAATAGACTGTCGCGCCCAGTTTATCTCAACATGCAAGACACCACGACAAAGATTCCAAAGATCGTCCACCCCCCAATTTGCCGCCGGTGTAATGATATTCAATCTGTGTGATGGTATCCAGTGGTAGACATGATCATCCTGAACACCGTTTATCCCCACACCGTATCATGACGTATCCATATTCATCCTGCGTTTTTCTCATGGGTCAAAACAGCGGTGAAGAACAAATGACTTTCCTCATCTCCAACATGCTGTTACTCTTCGTGCTTGGTAACAGATTACTTGAAAAGGTGCATTTCTTGCTGGTGAATTTTTTAATTAATTTTTCCCATTAGTGGGTTTTTTATCGTATTGCTCAATAGTATTGTCTGCACCTAAAGAAACTTAAGTCACAGACCTCTGCATATAGTCCTAATTGCATATATTACTCAACATGGCTAGGAATTACGGTATTCGTCAGACACCTCTTCAAAGATACAAGTCTACTTCACCTATCTGTAACAGTCGTGATGGGGAAGGGCTTCGATGTTTCCAGTTCAGACCGAGCTCCTTGCGTTATCTTGAAAATAACGCCCCGATAGATCGCCAAGCTGGCAACATTTGCGATAGCTCCAACCACAGAATGCTCATGTGGTTTTCCCAGGACGTTATCATTGTCTCCAATGTGCCCTTATGTGACGAAAGATTCGGGGATCGTCCATGATGAGGTGCACACGTATTGGTGTACTCTGATGTTCTTTGCCTTTTCACTATGTTGAGTTCATCACACTTAATATCTTGCATGTTTTGTAGATATGCCGGAAAGCTGCCTCTCCATTCATGAAATTGCACAACCTGTTAATGCCAGCTGTTTAGAAGGCTGGAAATGCTACGGAAAGTAGAGCTCGACAAAGGTGGCAATGCCGAAATGATAGCGTAAGTTGACATAGTTAGAAAGACGTAAAAGAAAGGGACAGAAACTTAAGGATTGCGGAGAAAGGAATCAGATGATTAAGGCCGACATGAATCAAGTTATGGCTTGCATTTCACAATTTAACCATGACAACTGTTATTAATTAACAAAGACAAAATAGCTGCCGCACAAATTTAGTCATCTGCATGCCGAAGTCACATGTAACAAACAGTTGAAGAGGTCATGCGGTAATAAATATGTGAAGAGTACCTGCAAGGCATGCAGAATATTTGAAAATTCGTAAGCGATATCTTGCTGTTGATACCTCAACTTCACAGGCTTATCAGGCGTGCTGTCTGAAACTGCAAAGCAACAACAGATAACACGTAGAATAACATCAGATTATTGCGACATGAAATCCAGGGCCGGAGTACGTTCTCCAGTGACACATGAATGATGCCGTTTGCAACACAACACCGTATTTGGAGCTTTGAGCTGAGTCATCAAGGCAGGAGAAACAATGTTTAGAGGTAGACAAAACTCTGGGTGGGGAAGGTGGCAAAGTACCATCAAGTTGTTCGATACATTGGAAACCCAGCGATGCGAGCCGTTCGACACAGATATAATACCCTTGGTCATCCTCCAGGGACGTGTTTCCACTTGCACCTCCGTCTCCAACATCTTGACCGAGTTTAAGTTCTACTTTGCTCTCACTAACCCAGTACATATTTGTTGATGCTGGCAGGGGAACAAAACATGAATGTAACGGAGTCTTCGTTACAGTGTTGGTTGTCACCAGATTCTCATTCTGGTTTCCAGGGGAAGGCTGATCTTCTAGGTTTACCTCTGATCCCTCTTGTCCCTGTGTACCAATCTTTGAATAAGAGATATAACCATGCGAAAGATGGGGGAAATGCCACACTATCAGGTTCGCTAACTAGCAATGCGAACGATCGACAGCTTGTTACAAAGACATCTGAATATTGCTACTCAATACAGAGAGGTAAAGATGATGAATCTACCCTATCTGAAACCGTATGTTTTTTTACTCACAACCTCCATCAGTGTGATTAAAATTTTGGCACTTAAGTATAAACATGTTCACCTGCGATGGTTGAGAGGAAATACCAGCGTTTTGTACACGCAATTCCTCTTGCAGAGAAACACTCAGCTTGCCTCGCTCCACGGGAATGCGGGCCATAACGTTAACTAATTGGTCTAATAACTTCTTGTCTTCATCGTGCGTCGAGTTCCGAGTGAACCATAACGCCAACGTGATCCGCTCCCCATCTGTAACCTATTCCGAGTACCCGTACAAGTTGGAACCGTTTACGTACTTATATAGTTGGACACAAAGCAGAAGTAGGATAATACTAGTACAGGAATTTTTGCAACTAACCTCATTAACACAGTGCACATTCTCCTTGTTAGCGGAGTAGATCAAGACGGTCTGGACATGAACACAACCGTAAGGCACTTAGCGAATCAAACTGTTATTAAAGCTTCAAAAAATCCGGGGAATGGGAAATGTCACTGAATCACTCTCCGACACGAGATCAGAAGAAACATGAACAGCGTAAGTGAATCAAACCGCAATGACTTCTCAACTTCTCAATGCAACGATTTCTTACCCCCATAGTTGGAACCACCGTCGCTGGTTCGCCATCTTGAAAATGGAATAGGCCGCCATGGAAGTCTTGTTCGTAAGTGTTCAAGTAGCAGACGGCCTGCGCATGATTGACTAGAAGGATTGTTGAGACCATTCCTAAAAATAAACACTGTTGGTCGAATTGGTTTCAAGTTGTTGGACCTCTATGAACTGAAACAGACCGAGAAATGCCGCTGTCGCAAATAATCTCGATTGTCGTCGCTGTGCCATCCTATGTTTGCACCCCTTCTCCAGCTGCATCCCCATTTTCCTGTTATTAGATGTAACATAATTAAACCAATTCACTCTGTACGAAAGTCACTAAAAGAGTAACAGTGAAACACGATTCTTGGATTTACTCCTGGACTACGATGTGTGTTGAAATAGCCAAAGTGCGTATTATGATTGCAAATTACACAGATGCAACAAACGATTGTCATCAGGAATTTGTTTTTTAATATATTCAATCATATTATAATCCAAATTCCTTCATCTTTAACAGCGGACGAGTTTCAATGACTGACAAAAAGATGTCAAAATTTGCAAATGGTAGACAGAACTGACCTAATCAGACCAGTGAACTCAACGAAGAGCTCGAACTCACATCCGAAAAACTCTTCAACGGCCTCCTTCACCCTCTCTGAGATCGGCAACCAACAGAGGAACACCAAGCCGATAAGAGCTAGGCATGATAAACTGGGAAACAATTCATCCCTTATGCACCCTTCGTGGAAACAGACTTGAAGAAATCAAGCGGGTGCACGAGAGCCAGGTCAGCACACATGAACTTCAAGCAGCAAGATTGTATTAGAACTACAATCCATAAAAAATAAAATTAAGATGAAAATTAAAAGTGTTGGTGAGACTAGGCACCGCGCAGCGCTATGAAAGGCATGATGAGTGCAGCTGAGTTGGTAGCCACTAGGTGCGACAAAGTCGTGCTGAGAACATGCGGTCGATAGCCCACCACTCCACAGCTTTTATGAATGAAGATCAGCTCCTGAAACCCACACAAGCACGACTGATTATGCCCAAATTTTCAAGTGTACTAAGACACTCTTCAGACGGAAACTTCAACCTAACACCATGAACCGTGCGACAGATTTTTTAATCCATCATACTTCGCAAAACTCCTCCAATCACGTTCACATTGCCCTGAAACATAAGCCCTGAACTCTAATCCACTACAGAAATCCTGACTGGCGATATCGGTGCTCAATGAAAATTCATGGCATTGAGTCTGGATTGGAATCCACATGCTGCATACAAAACTGCGAATCCCTGCAAGATTATCCAACTGGCTCGTAGAATTACGCGTCGCATTCCAAGAAGAAAACAGAATCAGTCCAGGCTGCCCAATCTGGTAGCGACAACAAAGAATTGGTAACCGATCGATCTCAAAAGTGGATAGGCATCGACGCTCTGATTCATCTCTGTCGGCGATACTAAGCCAGATCTATCGCAATCTTTGGGCAAACGGAGGAAATTCGATCAGCGTAAGTGGTCTCCAGACTGGCCAAAATCCTAATTGCATCAACACAACTGAAGAATTGTAGACCAGACCTTGCAAAGCTCCGGGGATAGGAATCCTGGCAGAAGTAGCCGCTTGTGATCCATCGACGGCAGAGTTAAGAGGGCGTCGTCACGTCGTCCCCATCCCTCGATCGGCTGATGGCTTCGAGGGCTTTCGAAATCAGTCTCAGAACACGAGCCTCGCAAACGCAAACACACACACTCACACTTCCGAGCGGGGCCTCTTCCTCGAAACCCTAATCGGGGGAGCCCCAACCGAGGTGCGTTCAAAGCCTGGATCCGCAAAATACAACTACGATACAACACAAATAGAAAGAAATAAAATACACAATGGAGCTTTCAGCTACGAAGTAGAATAGATAATCCCGTGCCATTATCACGGATAATATGCAAAAAAAAGTAATTAATTTTTTTCAAAGAACTACTTGAAAAATATATATAAAAAAAAACATTAAATTACATTAAAAATTTATAAAAGTATTTTAAGACATTTAAAGATGTATTAAAGTCAATACATAAATTAATTAAAATATAAAAATATAAAAATAAATTATTAATATTTATCTAATTAAAACTTTTGAGAAAACAATATTCAACATAGAATTTGAATTTTTATTTTAAGAAAGAAGAATCTTAATGAAACGAGAAGAAGTGTATTAAAAAAGTGCTACATAAAGTTGATCACAGAAAAAAAAAATATATATATATGTATTGTGAGTTGTCAATTATGTTCCTAAATTTATTATTTTTTTTTCTTATTTTATAATAATTGAACAAGTTAGATTATGATTTATACAACCAAAATCTAGTTTTGTAGAGTTTTAAAGATTGTAACCTTTGTTGGTACAAATTATGATGTCAAAGATAAGAACTTAATGAAAACAAATGAACAAGTGAGACTCTCTCAAAGAAATATGATGAAATAGAAATAAAAAAGTATGTATATTAAAAAAGAAACTAGAATGGCTAATACCAAAAGACAAAAAAATTAGAGATTCTTGAAACTAAACTAGAAGTAAGAAAGGAATTGATCAGAGTGAAGGAGGCTTCACTCTTGCCTCTATATATATCTACCTAGGATCTATGTGACAACGTTTTATAGGACCTCCAAAAATGTGTTGACTTTGCATGATATATATATATCTTAACTTGCAAGGTAAGTTTTCTATATGGGTGCCATATAGCTTGTTCCGTAAGTTATCAATACATGTGGCACATGATTAGCTTGTTGACTAAGTTTTTAACCTACCAATCAATTGCAAATATATATAAAATCAAAATAATATTTAAGAAGCTTCTAAGAAGCTTTTCTAGAAGGTATTATGAAATTAATCAATTTTTATTTACTTCTATCTATTTTTATTATATATGTAACAATTACAATAGATATATATCCATGACATTATCCCCCCTTTTAAGGACAAGTTCCACGAGGAGCAGTGATCACATGTTGAGGAAATCTAAGATGTGGCAAATTATATTTGTTATATATTCTCATCTTTGTTTCTTTTGAAAGTAGTTGATAGGTCCTCTCAGCCATCAATAATGTTTCATTTTAAGGCGAGAAGACCACCATGTTATTTGATCATTGTTGAAACCTTCCTAACTTCCTTCGGAAAAAATATTTGTAACACCATCAAGAGTCATTCCTACTTCCAATAAAATCACCAAATATTGAGAGTCTCTTCTCAAGTTGTGATACTAAATGCGTTGCATCTCACTATTTATTTAAAGAAGAACATGTCGTTTAAAGAAAAACATATCTCTGTTACATCATCTTGAAGGCTATGATAATCATAATGTCTTGTTTGATAAATCAAGAAATGATGGCTCTTGAGTTGAATATGCTAGCCGTTATTTTTCTATTTCTTTAACACAACAATTATATAGAAACTACAAATAAGAATAGAAAGTGGAATGCAATCTTTCCAAAATTAAATTTCTTTTACAGCAAAGGTTTGCTATCTTTCATCTTAGTTTTAATAGATGTCGTTGATAAAAAGTTTTGACCTTCTTTGTTGCATTTGTAAGATTTTTTGCTCTCTTCTATGTGTATTTGTAAATATTGTATATGAACTAATAAATAAGATATTCTAACTTATGTCAGTGTTGCCTTGAGTCTAAGACTTCTTCTACTTCAAATTCTTGATTATTATCCACTTCTGTAAGAGGCAGTGGTATTTGTCTTCTTTCCGGGATATTCACTATCTTATATGAGTCTAAAAGAGATATGTGAAATACGGAATAGATTTTCATAGGCTCCAATAGATGTAATTGATAAGCAACTGGATTGACTTGTTCATAAATAGGAAATAATCTAAGTCTATGATAATCCAATTTGTCACAAGAACAAATAGTTTTAATATTACAACGAAGTAATCATATCTTATCACTAACATGGAAATGACGTTATTGCTTGCAATAAGCATCCATGTTGTTCTTTTGTTGTTCTTGAGCCTCTTTTAGTTGCACCTTTATTATTGTATGTAGTGTAGATAAATGATTTGCTAAATCTTTTGCTACAAGATTACCTATTTTTGAAAAGTCAATAGTATGAAGTCGTGAATGATAACCATAATTAGCAAAAAAAAAGAATTTATTATATAAAAGAATGTACTATATAATTATAACCAAATTCTGTCAATGACAAAAGAGTTATTGAATCATCTTATTGATAGTTGATGGTATACCTCAAATATTACTCCAAAACTTAATTTACATGCTTTGTATCAAGGACATGAAACTTGAAAAAAGAAAATCCTCAATATACTCTTGTGTCACTTAAAGGAACTAAAAAATCACTCAAAAATGATATAATATTGAATTAGAATGGCTATTGTCAAAAACAAAAAGACCATAAAGTCTTAAAACAAGACCAAGGACTAGAAAGACATTAATAAGAGTAAAGAATGCTTCATTCTTGCCTCCATATATACTCTTAAGCAGGAGTTATGTGATAAGGTCCTATAAGACCTCCAAAATGTATTGACTTTACAAGATATATATCTTAACTTGTAATGCAAGTTTTCTCTATATATATATATATATATATATATATATATATATACCACATAATTAGCTTATTTTAGAAGCTAAAAATATGTTGTTAACTTATTGACCAAGTTTCTAACCTATCAATCAACTACAAATACATATAAAGTCAAAGTAGCATCTATGAAGCTTCTAAGAAGGTGTTCCAGTAGGTATAATGTGAATCATCAAATTGACTCACTAATTCTTTTAAGATAAAAAGATGCATTTATAATCCTTAAAACCACAATATATGGTGAATAATATAGAAATCTTTAAACAAATAGAAAATTAGAATGTTAATTATAGAATTGGAGTCTTAATAAGTCTTAGAGGCAATCATCTTAGTTGATTTAGTATTTTTTTTATTTATTATTAAGTATTGAAATTATTTACTAAGTTTAATATTTATATTGGCCTTTCAACTATACATATTACTTATAAAAAAAACTATAAATGTTAGTTAGTAGTTAGAAGAAGCATGAGAACAAATCTCATGTCTTTTAGTTATTTATATAGAAAGTAGGATTTATAATGGATTTAAATTATTTTTATTAGTATAAAAAATCATCAAAATAGGAAATTATAGTCTTAAACTGATATTAGTATTATAAAACCATTATAGATATTATAGAATTTATTTAGAATTTATTTAGAATATATTTAGAATTTTTAGGAATTTTTAGAGTAATTTTGAAGATTTTGGTAAAAATAAATTTTATCATTTCGGAAGCCATTATGAAGAAATGGAGCAAAATTTGAAGGCCACACAAGGCTTCTAGGCTAATTAGATGTTTTTAAATACTATGGTGAAGTCAAAAGTAAAAAATTATTGATTTAGTAATAGAAAATAGGAGGTCCAATAGCTAGTATAGTCCTTGTAAGAAGTGAGGTGCACAAGTTCCATATGGGTTGTAGCACCTTGAAGGTAGTTAAGAAGATAAGACTAAGACCTTGTGGCCTCTCTTAGGGACCCATATATACTACTTGTGAGCCTTGGTGAACTCTTGATCTCTTAAGCAAGTTATCCTTGAGGTAAAAATTATTTACTTAAATTTTTATTTATTTACTTATTATTTTTAAATCTTTTATAACTTACTCATGGTAACTCGAATTTACATGTTTCTTATACCATTGGAAAGATAAAAAATTATCTTTTTAAAAATATATTTTATCTTTTATTTTTTATTTTTTACTGGATAAAAATCAATAAATAGATTGTAACTAGTTTTGTAGTGTACAATTGCATGATTGCACTTGTTTTACTTATTTTTTTATTTTACTTATTTTTTTCTTGTTCTTGCTACTTCACTTTATACCAGAAGTTACAAGTAATTTTTAATTGAAGCCATCTTATAATTAGATTGAGGAATGAATTTTACACTCACATATTATAAAGTTGATCTATTTTTTTTTTTTAATTTTTATCTACTTCTACTTAATAATATAGGTATTTATTAGAATATATTTGTATATCTATGATACTTTGTTTGACTATCAATTTAAGGATGAAAAATTGAAAATAGTTTTATATTCACTTTTAAAAACTTGAAAAGCGTTCTCTAAAATCTTCATATAAATTAAGTTTTCTTATTTGATATAATATCCTTATGCAATCCATGACAGTAATAGATGTTGTCAAAAAAAAAAACTTAGCTATTTCTTCACTTGTAATAGCTTTTATACATGGTTCAAAGTATGCCATCTTGGTGAAATGATCTATTATTACAAATATAAAATCATAAGAACCTGAGATTAAAAGATCCATGATAAAATTCATAGAAATAGAAGACCATGGTTGTTCTCAAATAGGTAATGGTTGAAGAAGTCCACAAAATCAATGATGAGGAGTTTTTGACCTTGAACAAATGTCACATGATTGGACAAAGTCTTTCATTGCGTTCTACATTTGTAGCCACTAAAAATCTCTAGATATAAATTCTAAAATCTTATTGTATAAAAAATGTCTAGATGTTGAAAAGTCATAATGTGCTTGAAAACTATGTAAATGTACTTTTCTTTTTAGAATGTATAAGCGTCCTTTAAAATAGAATAGATTATTTTTGAACTCAAACTTAGAACCATCATAAGACTTAGAAGAAAGTTTTTTGATATCATGAATAAGAGAATCAAAGGACATATTTGATTGAATTTGTTTGGCAAGGATTGAATCAATAATCAATTTTGATTTTATTTCTCAAAGGTAAAAATACTCTAGCTTTAAGAAAATTATTCTTTGTTAATCAAAAGATAAGTCTCCTTCTTTTGGTACAAGATAAAAACATCTAATAAACCTTATTGTTTTAAAGGTTGATAATTGATTTCAAAATCAAATCTTGACAAAGACATACTCTAATGTATTTGGCAACAATTTAAAATATGTGCTGACATAAAGTATTCAAGATTCTTGTCGTCCATATAAATAGTGACTGAATTAGAAGTGCCTTCTAAATAATAGTGCTATTCTTGAAATGAATCTATAATTATGAGAAGTTCTTTATTGTGAATCTTGTAGTTGATCTTGCATACTGAAAATTTTCTTGAATGAAAAGCTATTAGATGAAGTTTATTATGTATTTCTATTTGTGATAATATAATATCTTAAGCAAAGTCCAATATGGTTGTTTTCATAAAAAATAACTTAAAAAAATCAACGCAATATAAGATTGGTGCAAAAATAAAGCTTGTCTTCAAAGCTTCAAATATTACTTTTATTTCTTAATTCCAATGAAGTTTGTCTTTACATATCAAACATATAAGTAGAGCTATAACTTGAGAGAAGTTCTTGATAAAGATCCCGTAGTAGTTGATAAATTCCAAAAAATATTGGACATCTCTTACCATTTTTGAGATCTTCCAATCCATAATAATTTGAACTTTTTTAAGATCCATCATAAGTCCATCATTTGAAAAAATGTATTCTAAGAAGTTGACTTGAGTAGTGTAGAATATAGACTTTTCTATCTTAGCATGGAGACTTATATCTCTTAATTTTTGTAACACACAATAAATAAGAAGTTTATATTCTTTTATATTCTAAAAATAGATTAAGATATCATCTAGATAAAAAAATAAATTAAGATGTCATTTAGATAACAAAAAATAAATTCATCTAAAATCTCTCAAAAAATATCATTTATTAGATGTTGAAAAGGTACTGGTGCATTTATAAGTCCAAAAACTATGATGTTATATTCAAAATGTTCATACCTTATTTAAAACATAGTCTTTCATTGATCTCCATTCTTCTTTTCAAATATATCTTAAAAATCTTGATATTGGTTTGAATTGCTACTTGAAGACTTTCTACCATTAAAAAAAAGTATAGTATAAATGATACAAGATAATTCTTCTTTTGCAACATGCAAGAAAGCTCTTCTATCTACAAATAAAAGTTTAATTGTACTAGAATTATGACTTTTTATTTAATCAACTATACTCTTAGTTATACTTTTAAAAAAAAATTAAGACTATAAGAAATCCAATCTATTTTTGGATTATATTTTTTTAGCCATGATAAACTTAAAATGATTAGATTAAAGTAAGATCTAATGATATTAAATATTACAAAGCTACTATGACCATTAGCTGTTACTTTTAAAAAAAAGATTTCATGAATAACATATTTTGACGATAATCAATGACTATCTATGATTTCTGTGTGAATAAGTTTAGTTTTTTTCATTAAAGATATATTATATCTTTTAACAAAATCTTCATTTAAAAAATAAGGTGAGATTTTTGAATATAGTAAGGCAAAGGCTTTGTGATTTTTGGGTCTTAAAATAATATTTATTATAAAACAAGGAGAAGATTCTAAGAAGAGAATAGGACCTTCACTAGGTATTGTACAAGGTTTTAATTGCATGATTTCTATTGTAAGTGGACAAATTTGTTTTTTGCCATACTATCTTCTTTGACGACTATACTCTTCATTTTGTGGTTGCATTGCTTCTTTAGATAATATTGAACAGTGTGCTTATGTTCTCCATAACATAAGCATGATCCTTCCTAACAATAATGAGTCTTTTGTCACTCAATAAGAGGTGTGAAACATACCACATCAATTTGCATATCCTCTACTTTCAAATGTATGTATTGATGACATATTGGTATTGACATTGAATTGTAGTAATGTTGAGGCCCAATTGTGTGATTCTTAAATCAAAATTTAAAAAGTCAATTATCACATTTTATAGCAAAGTCAATTGATTGACTCAATGTTTGAGGATTGAATAAGTTGAGCATCAATTTCTTTATCTCATATTGTAATCCATAGAGAAATTGGCTAACAAGTGCAGCATCATCCTACTTCATATCAATTGTAAGTTGTCAAAATTATGAAGAATATAATCGTATTAATCAATTATCTTATTGAAAAATATAGATCTTGTTAGTTGCAATACGAATTGCATCATGTTTTCTATACATGGATCAAATCTCTAATATAAAAGCCTTTAGATTATCTAATATTGGATCTCGTTGTTCAAGAAAAGATAAAAACCATAATAATGCTAAACTTGAAAGAAGTGTACCAATGAATCTAACTTGTAGTCTTGGAATTGGATAGCTTTTGATTTAAAGTTCAATCACAAATTATACTTGATTGATAAATCCTCAAAACTTGGATCTTATGCCATCAAACTTCTTAGGTGGTATAATTTTTAATTTTCTAAAATTAGAAGGATATTCCACTATACAAGAAAAAATATGATTAGGTACAAATATTGAAGCAACTCCAATCATTTCTATATCTTTGTTCTCTATCATTCTTATTACAACTTTTAACAATAATTGAATTGATGCTTTTCAAGTATTAACTCCTTCAATTACTCTTACATTTTTGCAATTACACTCTTCATTTCAAGAAGTTTTGTCATGATAATACTTAAAGAAAGGAAGATGTCTAATATTACTTAAGATAAATAAAAAAAAAGACTTAAAAATTAAAAAAAATACTAAGAACAATATCAATTTAGAAGAAGTTAATCCATAACTCTTAATATGCTTAAATCTTATTAAAAAAAAATGGATAATCTACTCTTAATAAAAAAAAAGACAAAATTCTAATATTTTAAGTACATTCTTATCAATCTCTCAAAGATAAGTACTCAATGAAAGCAAATAAATAAGAGAGGTTCTTTCAAAGAAATATGACAAAATAAAAATAGAGAAGTATGTATATTAAAAAGAAAACTAGAATGGCTATTGCCAAAAGACAAAGAATTTAAAGACTCTTGAAATTAGACTAGAAGCAAGAAAAGAGTTGATCAGAGTAAAGAAGGCTTCATTCTTGCCTCTATATATACTATTTACTTAGGATCTATATGACAACGTTCTATAGAACCTCCAAAAACGTGTTGACTTTGCATGACATGTATCTTAACTTATAAAGCAAGTTTTCTATATGGATGCTACATAGTTAACTTGTTCTGCAAGCTACCAACACATATGATATATGGTTAGCTTGTTGACCAAGTTTTTAACCTATCAATCAACTAAAAATACATGTAAAGTCAAAATAATGTATAAGAAGCTTCTAAGAAGCTTTTTTAGAAGGTATTATGAAATTAATCTACTTTTACCTATTTCTATCTATTCATATTATGTAGGTAATAAATACAATAAATATATATCTTTGATACCTAATCTAATTCCTTGAATTGAATTAATTAAGATCAAAATGATAAGATTTAGAAAATTAAAATAATAATTTAATTAATTTTAATAATTTAGAGGTTTTTAGTTATTGCTATAAGAGTTGAGTGAGAGCCGATGAGTTCACCTACAATCATCTCATATGATTTAGAAGGAATTAAATTATATGTATGTACTGAAAAAGCTTTTATATGATCCTCCTAGCTTATAGCACTACAAATTATTGCAGCAGTTGTCAATAAAGCTTCATATGGTATCTTTTCTTTTTGCATTGTAGAAATGGCAGAAGTTCAAAATCTACTTAGTTGAATATTTCCAACAAAATTCTATTTGCCATCATTATCCACCCTAGTTTCATAACTTGTACCTTCGACTGCTGCAATCCCATGTGTTACCAAATAATCCTTAATTAATGCTTTCATACCTCCTTTACTAAAGTTGATTTGGAGAAGATCACTAATATCCTTCAATGGAACTTTTCCATCTTTTCAATAAACAATGCCTTGTTACACCATTTCATCAAATTTACCACAATCTTTTTGAAAATGAGAATCATCATCACACCAAATATAACTTTGCATATACCTTTATTTAAAAGTAGCCTTTGAACTTATTATAGAAGTCTTTTCCTCAAGCCTTGCAAGTTTAATTTGAAGATTCTGCATCCTACGTTTAATTTTCTGAAGTCCCATATCTTCTTTCTTTGATGTAGCTAGTAGAGGTTAGATAATAGGCACAATCAATTGTGTAGCAGGTATTGGGGTCTTTTTTACTTGCACCACTCTTTGAGCACCAATCCTATCCTTTCTCTTTTTTCTTTTGATAAAGAATCTAATAGCATCTTGAACATCTTTCTACTTTGTTGTCAACTCTTCATCTTCTTCTTTGTTTTCAAGAAGCACCTCTAACTTTTCTTGTAATTCTCCATGAGGAACTCAAAGTAACAATTCAACCTTGTTTAGTATCAATGTTAATTTTTTAATTTTCAATAATCAAAAAAATTACCTTTCAAATTTTCTTAATAATTATATAGCTTACAAATTCTTGTTAGGTTGTCAATCCATTCCAAGAATGATTTTTTGGTAACTCAATTAATATCTTCAAAAAAATATTTATCCTTCAATGCATGTAAAAATATCTCCCATGAACTTCCAAATTGTTCCATAATAGATCTTATATGCTCTCTTCTCTATGGTACCATAGCAAGCTCAAATAATTGAATCATCTCCTTCTTAGAAACACAATTCAATTCTATTTTTTACACATAAGATCTTTAATATTTAAAAATATTCATCCTACTAAATTAGTCAACCTTGTTAATCACCACTTGTAATGCTTTGGTTGCTAAAGCGTCTTGCGATTATCGCCTTATTGCTATCGTATAAATAATATAAATGCTTGAAACTTTTACAATATTTGGATCAAAGTACATATCTTGTTCACTAGTAGAAAATCTACTTGAAGCTTTACTTGAAGATCCACTTGAAGCTCCATTCAAAGGTCCATCAAAAACTCTAAATTCAACCTTCTTGCCATCTTGCATCATCAATTCTAAATAAACACAAATACAATTGAATACATTCTATCTCAAACTTTTACATCAAGTTCACTACTTATGTCATATTATGTGTTGTCCTATATGAGAATGCATTGGACATCTGGTTGTGGAAGGTGGAATTGTGTTTTTTAAGTATTTCTGAATCTTAATATATTTTACCTTTATAAGAAGAATACAATTCAAATTTTAATTCAAAAGTACTTAAATTCAATACAAAGTACTCAAAAACACTCTTCTTAGTAATTTTAACCATACATAAACTCTAATTATATTGTTACTTTCATAATTAGATAATTTTGAATTTTCTTTGTAATCTTAATCCTAATTAGCAAGCTTTAGCAAGCTATAGCTCCTAATTTAATCATCCAATTATAGAAAAAATTTGTATATAAATGTCCTTATAAATCTTCTATATGCTCAAAAAGAATTCACTCCAATCTAACTTATAGATCATGAGAAAACGCCCGAGAACCACAGTGATATTACTTAGCCGTCAACTTGAAAGTTGATGCAAATGCTCCAGCAATGATATCTCCTTCTCCAACTCAAAATTGGTATGCACCTTGATTTTTAAGTCTTCTAGTACTATGCCAAATTTCACCTTGATCTGATAAGTAGATCTTTAAATGTCATAGAAATTCTATCCAACCTCAAATTATCAACTTCCAGTACCTTCTTGTACTGAGAGTACTAGCTCTAGTTATATTACATAAATCCCAAGTTGGTCAAATAAACATTGATTTTGAATAACAATTGCTAAGTCCAAACAAACCCTACAAAAATAAGCCTCATGTTTTGGAAACAAGCTCCAAACTAGCTCTTGAATTCTAATCTTTGATTTTCAAATGAAACCCTATTTTGCCCTAGGTCATCATTTTAATAGTTAGAGGTTTGATTTTGACCCTGTCTTACAAATGGTTGACCTCCGAGTATCAATCTAATCTATCTTAAGGATTTTTTAGCCCAATCCTATCTTCAACTTAATCCTAATATCAACCATGCTAATTATTTATTACTTAAAATATGATTTTATCAATTTATGGTCTTTCTAAGGTAATAAAAGAGTTTCTAAACCTAAGAGGTAAAATTACTAATCAACCTTTAACCTATTAACATAAAGACAAGGAAATAAACTAAGAGACTTTTATAAAAGTCATGTTTAAATATTTTAAATTATTATTAAACCAAGATAATTAGATATTAATTAAAATTTCATTTTTTATTATATTTTCACTATATAGTCGTGTTACATCATGACACCATCATTGTTCTTCCCTCCATTCTTAATTCTTCTATTTCTGTCTGTACTGTATCTACATAATGCCAATCACTTTCAAAAGAACTAGTTAGTGCATTGCTTTACTTGAAATAAAAGCCTTCTCCATATGAGAGACCATACATCTATATAATATATAATTTTTAGTTTGTTCCACTAAGAATATCACACTCAAATTGGTATTTGATTTCTTAGAAGATATTGATTTCTTCATAAACTTGTGACCAATCTTAGTAGATAATGTTCTAAATACAAACAACACAATGATGAATGTATCTTTACATCTCTATTACTAAAAGTCTATCAAATTCTTCCATGGTAGAGTGAATATTAAATATGTAAAAGAACTTGATATAAGTGAGTAGGTCACTTTAAATTCATGCCATTATAACAACAACTTCAACTTATAATCATTGTTTGCACTTCCAAATCTGCCACCTATTTATATTCTCAAACATTTAGGTGTAGAGGATCAATGAGTCAATAATTGTGCCACAAAACATGATACCATTTAGAATAGTATTTTTCCATGTATCTTACATTTAAAATATTATAGTATTCTAAAGTTTATTTTTTTATTTTATCTTATCTCTTCTTTTAAGCTTTGTTTCCCCCATACTTAGTCTTCAACTTTTCTTCTAACTGATTGACCTTTGGCTTCCTACTCCTCTAATGGTCTCTCAATAACAACCACAAATTAAGTATTAATTTTTATTTGTTCAACTTCTTTGAGCTCAGTAATGGATGCCTCAACCTCGTGAACAACAGGCTCATCAACCAAGAGCTCTATTACATATGCATCAACCTCTTCTTCAATGGAATAAGGCTCTAATATTCTACAAGCTTCTTTGCAATAGTCTCTTCTACTCCCAAGGCTTCTTTTCCTTCAATAATTGCAATCCCCTCTACAATAACAATCCCATATATACTCAATCCATAGTATCTTTTCATTGATCTAAAGTCAAGTAAATTAAGACCATACACCATGTCTCTTTCAATATCTCCTACATTCAAGTCTAGCATGTTCATGTGTTCATATTTATTTTTTGATATATAAAGAGAAAAAGAATCAAAGGCATATTCATACAACTCCAAATCACCTTCTATTACAATAGTATTAGCAAAAAACCAAAGAATAAGTTTTAATGGTAATCCATAGTTTGATTGTTTATGTATTACTTCAAAAAATAAACATTGCATAGATACTAATAGAACCCGACATGTTTTCTTATAAAGAGCTTTTTTTTCATCAATACCCTCTTCTTCTTTCATTGGTGCAATGGATCAAACTTTTAGATGACTTTCAACTTGATTCTCTTCAACTGCCATCTTACAAATAAAAAATGTTGGTTCTTCACTAATTGTCAATTTCTTTGAAGTAAACAATGCTCTAGCTTATTCTTCTTCTATTCTATTGACTTCCTCAGATTTATCTTCTTCTTCTTCAACATAATGTTTATTCTCATTTGGAACTTAAATTAGTTTGTCTATTAGTTCTTTGATTCCGTCGGCCTCCTCTAAGCCCTCTCATTATCTTTTTACATGACCATCAAAATGAAAGACATTATATTCTACTACTTTGCATTCTCCTTCTATAGTGGAGTCATATAAAGAGCACTCAATAGTGTCATTTATTTGAACTACCTCTTTTGTATCTTTTTTTTTATACTTCTTCAAAATCATTTGATTCCTCGAGCGATTCATATCCAATTTTCTCTCGAGTTGTAGTAGAAAGCACCTCTTTATCTTGATTGTCAATATATTTAGAAGAGTTGCACCATTTTATGATACTCAACAAAGAGAGAAAGTAGAAGAGGGCATAATAAGTAGTGACTCCATAGAATAAAAGAGCTAAGAAAACTCCACCAATCAACATAAATACTATGACTAGAATAGCTAAAAATAGGAATAATATCAATACTACTATGTTTGAAAATACAAGGAACAAGGATGATGGTGTCACGAACATACTCATATAAGCTAGTAATTACATATATAAATAGGTGGAAGTAAGTAAAAATAGGTAAAAGTAAGTTAATTCTATAGTATTTAATATAGTAGCTTCCTAGAAGCTTCATAGACACTGCTTTGACTTCATAAGTGTCTTTAATTGACTTTTTGGATTAAAAATGTAGTCAACAAGTTGGCCATGAGCCACATATGTTGTTAGTTTGAAGATTAAGCTAACTATATAGCCCACACATAAAAAAGCTTCATTTATTTATATTTTGTTACCTTTCTTCGAGTGAAGGCTCACTTATCTGAATTTCTTTTTATCGAGTTCTTGTCCTTGACAGATGGCTGAGAACAAAATGAACAGGGATGAAAGCTAAAGAAGTGCAATAATATGGGTCAATTTAATGAAATTTTGAGTCGCTTTATCATTCCCCCATTTATATATAAATATATATATATATATATATATATACATATATAAATATAATTGATATAAATAATATTTATTTTTTATATATCAAATTAAAATAAATTACCAATTAATATGATTTAAAAATAAAATTTTATTTCTTTAAAACATATCTAAACAATATTAATA